CAGATGTGTCCAAGTACTAATTTCATCACATTGCCATGCTTCTCTTTCTACATATGGTTTTTGGCTACCCTAGCACAGCCTGCAAGCTTTGCCTGGGCAGATGTGCTGGTTTGTATCTAATGGCCTTATTCTGAAATTCTGATAAGCATCATCTATGCTATATTGCCTAGGCCTCGTAAGAGCCAACTCATGCAAGCACTGGAAAGATTCCCCTTGGGCTCTAAAGGCTTTGCTCTTAAAGTGCTCTGGGGTGTGTTAAGACTCCTCAGGCGCCAATAAAAGCCCTTTGCATTCTCTAAGACACACCAAGGGGAATACTGTACAGTAGCTCAAATGGATACATGCCCCATGTGGACACCACCTCATTTTTAGCAAGGCTGCTAAGTGGAAGTGGCAGTGGGTGGTTCAGCAGACATTCAGTGCTGAACTCTCCGAGCCTCAGTTTGAAGACAAGAATTGAAGTAATTAGCATGTATTGTTTGAGGAATGTAATGTTGCCTCTGCTCATCTTGATTTTCATGGATCGGAGCACTACATGGTGCCTTTGGAAAGGCTCACTTAAAAAAAAATTCCTAAGTGCCTTGAGTTATACTTCTGTGCATGGCCTGAATTGCCCCAATTACATCATCCAGCACAGCGCAGTACCTATTGCATTCAAGAGCTTTCTCTCTTAGGATCTACAACTAATCAGCCCTTCACTTTATTTTGAAAGGGGCTCAGCCTGTTAGACTATGTCAGACAATGTCTAGCATGTGCCCAAAGACCCAAAGCCCTCACAAAATGCAGCACATTGATAGTGTTGTCCTCTAGAAGGCAGAAGACTCAGCTTCTTCCATTGTGGCCTTCCATTTAAACCCATGTTTCCCAGCTGCTAGGCTGCTCCCCTGCACAGAGTAAAGCTTTGCAGGGAGCTTTAAGGCCTTGTTGAGCAATGAAGCCTAGTTCTTATGGCACTTAGAGGAGGGAAGAGTGACGGGGTGCAGTCCTTACTCCCAGGGCAGTTTGTACATTTTAACCAGTGACTGTTTAGTGGAAGATGACACAGCTTAAGGTGCTCAGAGGATCTTTTTGTATCCCAAATTAGTTGTTTCTTGATGAGTTGAAATCCTGGTGTGGATTTGACAGCTGCCCAGAAATAGCAGCCAAACTGTCATCTCCCATTTCTCCCTCACGTTCGGTTTCAGCCACGGATGTCTGAACTGCTGTTTCCACTTGACTCTGCAGATACCAGCTGGGTCATTCGCAGCTCTTAGGCAGAGTCCCCAGAAGCAGCTGCAGCTATGGGAGACTTGGCTCTCTATCACGAGGTGCCGCTCAGTGGAAGCTGTAAGTACATGCAGCCTCCGCCGAAGTTTCTGCCTGAAACGGGGACAGGTCTCTTGGTGGGCAATCACAAGCTGCCCTCGCTATCCAAAATGCTGGATTTCAGTCTGTGGCAGGGACCGGCTGCCTCTGTGGGGTGAGAATAACTCAAACCTTCAGGGACCTGACAGTGACAGAAAGATGAGGAAGAGCTATGCTCGGCAATGATAGCTGGACGCTACTTACAGGAGGTTTGCAAAGCTTAGGGAAGCCCTACATGGGCTGAGGTGTTCCAGGCTTTGCTGCCAGTAGTCCAGCCTCTCATGTACTCCGCAGGGTTTCCCATCCCAAACACTCTTCTGCCTCAGAGAAGCTATAACTAAACCCTGAGCTACCTTTCAGACTTCTATCTCACATAGGCTTAGCCCTTCTGTGACTCTGTTCATTTCTTTAAAGTTCTTTCTCCTGTCAGCTTAAGAGGCTCAGCTGCTTTCTTGTCAAGCGTCAAGCTCAGGCTCTACTACAGGTATGCTAAGTTTCCTGAAGGGATGGTAACAAGACAATCTGATATGTTGGTCAGGACCAGTGATTTCTAACCCATAACAGTTTATCATCTGCTAAGTCTGACAGGACAAGTACATGATCCATCACAGAGAAGTTTACCCCCTTCAAAAGAGAAAACCCCACTTGTTTGGCAAACAAGAAAAAAAACCCCTAAAATCCTAAACTATAAAAACCTCTAAAAAAGAGTTCTGCTGGTGGAAACAACGGATGGTAACAGGCTTCTGTGAGTTTATTGTTCCAGTGTGAGGTTTTCAGTTGAGAATTGCCCTGAAGAGCTGCAGTAGGTAGATTTTTTCTGTGTCTTCATATGCAATTGGAAAACACCCACTTCATCTTGCTTGTGCTGTTTTATTTAAACTCAGTTGGTTTAATCCCATTGCAGTCAGGTTTATTTGATGTTTCTCCATTAGCTAAGTACTGCTGGATGCTCCAGCACAATATGCTTTATGGCAAGGAGTGAAAAATACAGGAGCAGGCTGTAGCGTTAGTGGCATTCCCTGCCATTGCCCTTTTGCTCCTGTTGAGCATTGTGTTTTGCTGTGGAATAGTAACGAGGCTTCACTGACAAGAGGCGAGGACAAGTATAACTGAGGAAACGGAAACCACTTTGACTTCATCATTATCCTTAAGCTCCACAAACTGCCCTTTGCTGATTGATGGCCTGATGCCCACACATCTCCATTCTTTTTCTGGCTCTTCCTTGCCTCACTGATTCATTCTGGGTGAAGAAGCTCCCATAAACAAAAGGCAAACATCTCAGCATTGCTTCCACATTGGGAAGTACTATTTCAGTCACTAGGGGATCTGCTTAGAAAAGAAAGCCAACTCTTAAGAACAGTATTTCAATTTCAGGCAGTCTTATCTTGTGCTGTTCTGTTGTTTCAGCTAATTTTCTGAAGAATCATTCCCTGGTTTTGTTTTCCTATTAATATCTGGGGGGAAGTCTTTATTAAGACTTATGACTGCTTGAGAACTAAACTCATGTGCACGCATATACATCACAAGAAGCCTAAACCGAGTCACTTTCTACACTGGCAATATGTTGCCTAAGTTCCTGGAGAGGAAGAAAGAAAAATGCTACAAAACCTAGAGGCAATTGTGCTGCATTTTTTGGCTGTGGCTCAGGTTCAATGTTCAAGTAGAACATATTGAATACAGTTTAAAAAATTCAGCAGTATTCTTGTGAAAATGATCAGATATGTCTGGTGAGAAAATCAAATGGATCAGCAAATTTTCTATGAGTGAGTCTTAAAGGGAAGTGGAGAGGTTATCTGCTTATAGGCTCAGGCAATAGCTCTAGCAATGGAAACCAGGGATCTGGATGGAGATAAAGAATTGCTAATAAAGTAATTGTCCCCAGATTAAAAATTTCAAAAGTACAGATCCAGATAGCTGTATCTGAGGTTAAGTAGAATGCAGCACTTGTAAGAACTGAAATTAAAGTCCTTGGGGTGTATTAGGTAAAGAACAGTCTACGCTTGCAAGTAATTTTGGCAGCTAAATGGCTCTGCTCATTCTCTGATACCTAATGATAATGTCTTCAGTTTCACACATTGATTTTCAAACAATGCATGTCAAAATAAAGTGAGTTCTGTAGTCAAATTAGCACAGTCACAGGTTTGCCGCCTTCTCCGCACCTCATTGGAAACTCCATGCTGCTGGAGCAAGCTAATTCCCTTATCTTCAAGGTGACTGTTGGAGTGGGGCTTAGATCATTCTGCTCAGGCCATACGCATGAAGGACCAGCTGGTCGTCAGCCGTAACAACTACGATGCGGCACAGCCCATCCTCTAGCAACTGCTCCAGTCATGCTCCCTGAAAATCTCTTGAAACCTCTAAGCACTGCATTTCCATTGTCAGTAACAGACATCTCACCAAATAATCTCCTTAGTGGATTACAAACAAACACCCACTTAGTGCAGGAAGTAATTAGTATTAAATTAAGTGTAGCTTTAGACGGGAAGAGGGTGGGAGGAAGAGCAAAGGAATTTAGTATTGGCAGAAGGTGCAGTATGGACAACCCTGGAACCGCTAATCCATGTAAATTGTGGGACAAGGTCTGCGGGGTGGAGTTTCCTCCCTGCCTGTCTTGCTCCATGGGAGACGGCGCTGGGAGGGAAGGAGAATTCAGGTATTATGACTACTGTACCTGCCACAGACTTCAGGCTCTAGTATACTGGTGTACACAGGCAGTATATTTACTAAAGACAGGCTCTTGAGGCACCCCGGCTGATCAGTTCCATGTGCCTGTTCCATGTTTGGTAATGGAAATGTTAAAATGTAAAGGGAAACTTTCCTTATGTGGCCTAAGCCAGATACAGCTACTAAAATCTGGCACCTGTATATATGTGTAGTCAAATGCTACAGCAGAAAGGAGCTGCTGTATGCAGCAGGTTGTTTCATTGTGCTGAATATGAGATTACCTTGGAAAACAATATCTGTGCTAGTAGAGTGTAACCCAAATCAGTGCCAGGAGCATCTATGATGAAACACAAGCCTGGTGAGAAGCTAATATTTTTCTGTTTGTTGCTTGCTTTCCCACATTTAGGAAATACCATATGAGGAGAAATTAAAGGGTGATGTGCTAGGATAGGAAAAGGACTTCCAGATACTGTAACTTGACTGACCCAGTGTGTCAGCCTGAGGAAAAAAGTGAGCAGCAAGAACAGCTTCTCAGGCATCTCCATCCACCTAGTCAGGCTTAGCTTCTGGGCTCCTCAAGGTCTGGCCAGCAACAGCCTAAATATTTTTCCAAAATTTTTGAGCTACTTGGAAAATGAGTGTCATTGTCTTGGTTGGGAAGCACCAGCAGGCCTGTCCTTTTACCCATGGACTGCCTGGAGAACAGAGTGGCCAAAGCCATTGAGGGCCGTGAACTGTTTTCCCCGGTCTCTGCTATGATGCTGACAAGGGCTATGGCTGGCAGGGCTCTCTGTGCTTGTCGAGCAGTTGTGTAGTCATTTGCATTTATAGCTGTTTCTGACTGCAGAAGGTGCTCCCTACATTTCAAACAGCTCTCTTCTGAGCAACAGGGAATTCACCCTGCTGAGGTGGTGGTGCAGATGAGGATGACATTGCCACCACGCATATGTTTTGGTATTATTAATCATGCTCCTTTTCGGTTTGCTCCACAGATACTATGTGGGAAAGAGATCCCCCGCTGGGTGAATCGCCTGGCCTACTTCAGCTCGTGCATCCCCTTCCTCCAGAGCTGCCTCCCCAAGGAGTGGCTGACCCCAGCAGCACTGCAGAGCCACATCAGTCTCGGCCTACACAAGGAGGAGCAGGGGGACACAACGGATGAGGAGTCCCCCTCCACCTCCGCAGCCCCCTCAGCCTCAGGCACATCGCGAACCTGTAGACATACCCGGGTCTAAACTGTGCCCAGTATGCCCTCAAACAACACCCTTCTCTCTCTTGTACTATTTCTTTCTCACACCCTTTCGCACCCCTTGGTTTCTCTCTTCTCTTCTTCAATGAACAACACAGGGGAGGGAAGACCCTTTCTACTAAGGAGGTGAAGCTTCAGTCCCTTTTCCAAGGGCTGCCACTAGAGTTGCTCGGCAAAATGACTGTGAACCCCAACGCTGAACTGAGGAGTGTGGCAACTAACTGGATTCTCCTCCCAGAGCCCCCATGCTCCTTGATCCATGGAGAACTGCTGGCTCTCTTGGGCATGACAGCAGGCGTACGGGCAGAGGGGCACCATACTGTGATGTTCCTTCTCTGGAACTGTTTTATCTTTTTATCTCTTCCCCCTTCCATGTGAGCCCAGCAGCCTCCTCTCTATTTTGGCTGGGTTTGCCATTCCCCTATGACAAATCTCCTGCCCACACCCAGTGAAGGAAGCAGAGCCAGAACTCAACCTTCTCATCTCTTAGACCAGCAACAAGCTCCACTCAGCCCCACCCCTTTTGTAATTACCAGGTTTCTAACTCACGTGAAGGACAAATGAAAGGTGCTGCTGTTCTACAACCACCAATTTTCAGTACTCAAATTTAAGAGCTCCAATGAATGTCCTGCTCTTGAAAATAATAACAAAGAACCTAGAAAATGAATGTGTTACCATGGCTTTTCTTTGGGGTCAAAAAAAGGATAGGGCTAGTGCTTAGAGGCAGCTACTAAGTAGGTGCAGAGATGACTGTTGACTATATTGGTGCTTTTTGGCACAGACCCCTCTCAGTTCCCCTAATTCTAGGCAGCGTTCCTGGTTTCCTTTTTTTCCCCAGATTCCCTGGGGAATCTCTCTCCTAGCTGACATTTGCTGGCTGTCTTTGGGGGAATGGCCCTCCTGAGCACAAGGAGGAGGAGAGAGAATCTGTTGGGAAGGTCACTATTTCCTTCAGTTTTTCCTCCTGCACTCACAGTCCTAAAATGTGGCTCCAGAGCCATCCTTCCCCAGCCTATTTTCGAGCCAATCCAAGAACATAAAAAATAAGTGGTGAACCCAAAGAATGTCAACCTGTTTTCTTCTCCTCCCTTTTTGGAGGTGGAGGGGGAAACTTAGGGCCACATCTGGAAAGCATGGATGACCCTTCCAATGCATGGGCCACCATGGTGCCTTCCGTTGTGTGCACTATTTCAGTGGCATGAAAAATGGGCACAGCTGGCTCACTGGCCTCTCCAGGCTGGCTCTTGACAAGAATCTGTTCCTTGGATGTATTTATGCTCATTCTGAAATCTGATGAGAAAGCAGAGGAGGAGGAAAGGACATGTACACCAACTCTCCCACTCAATTATCTCACTAGGAGTTCTAGTCAGAAGATGTAGGAGAGAATCAAAGGGGAAATCCAGCCCCCCTCTCTCCCTTGCAACTCCTCTTGGCTACACAAAGAAGGATGAAAAAGGAACAGGCACAGTGTTGAGAGGGGGTTGCCACTTTGGAAATGCTGTTCCCAACAGCTACTACCAAGTCAGGACTTCCACCCTCCACCCAGAAAGAAGTACAAGCCCTTAAGATGGGTGGTTTTTTCCTTTTATTGGTCGCAATAGCATGCTAAGTCCAACCAGCTGTTTCTTTAGCTCAGGTATACAGAAGTGTGTGCTTTCAGGGCTGAAGGTCTTGGCTATGATGTACATCATGTCTGCACAGACAGCGCTTAATGGTTTGTTACATGTGCACGCTCTTAGTGAAGCAGGAGGCTTTGGAGAGATCTATTGGATGGAAATATAACTCACAGGATGGCCTCACTCCACCGGCTCCTGAAGTGATGCATGTTTGGGCAACAAAACCTTTACAACACACCTCTCATTTTCATCCTCTGAACAAATTGCTGCAAGTTCTATACTGAACTAAAGTCATGTTCCTTATTAACCTTGGCTACTCACAGCCAATACTGCATTGTGAGCAATTCTGCAGCTCCTGGTATCCAGTCCAGCACTGATCTTGATTACCCTGGCTTGTCCAGGGATGTTTAATAAGATTTCCATCCTCTTCTCCATCCTGCTGCCCAGAAACCATGTTACACAATGTACTGTTGCACTCTCTATTCCCCTGCAGTCATGGTCATTGCAGCCTAAACCAGCAATGCAAGCTTCATTTGTCTGAAGCTCCCAGGGTGCCTGCCAATAGCCAGCAGCACATTATGTGCAGTGAATTTTAAAATCTCTTTTTAGGTCCTTCTCTGGAGGAAAGTGAGAAGAGGCTTTCCCAGAGCTTTTGTCTAGGCCAGGAAAACTGCAGTCAGAAACACTGATGTGACAAAAGCCAGCCAGCCATCACCCTTGTGTTTCCGCTCTGCACCTGAGCTCCAGGTAAAGCACCATGTATACATCTAGGAGAGAACTAGGGCTCCAGAGGCACGTTTCACATGGAAAACCCTCTCACAGTATTTCACAAAGTAAAAAATGCTTAACTGGCTGTATGGTAACCCCGACAAGAAAGCTACATTCAGCCTCCTGGGGGACATGAATATGTGCTTAAAGTATTGGGAACAACACTTGGGATGAGCTGACAATGTCATAAAAGCCAGATGTTTGTTTATCTACTTTTATGTTTGTCCATTTCTTTATGACAGTAGGGGTCACATCAAGGAGGCATCAAACCTCTGTTGTAAATCAAAACCAGAATATATTCCAGTCTTCAAAAGCGTTTCTCCCCACCCCTCTCTGTTCAAGGTGACCAACCAACAATGACAAGAACAAAGGGACACTGTGGAAATAAAATATATATTGATGATAGCTTTACCTCTGTAATTTAACAGCATTTTAGATTATTAAACTTTAAGACATTTTAAAAGTCTAATTTACTGTTCATCTCTGGCACTGCATGTTTGTTTTAGGCACTTTTCTTATCCTTCCAATTATTACAAAATTACTGTTGTTATTATGTAATTATATCATATTTGTATTTAGTTACACATTTGCTTTCTCTTGCTGTTTTAGAGCATAACACCATGGGAAAATTTTAGATACCAACAGTTATCAGTGAAAACAAAAGAGCAGCTTACGAATCTTAACAAGAGCACCCCGTGGCACTGGCACAAACTCTTAACCCTTCTGCTTACTGCCAGGACTTTTGGTGCCCTTTTAAAAGTTGGAATGAGAGGGCACCAACTCTGCACATGGGCATCAGCAGCTGTGGGTTATGTCTCTAGCAGAGAGCTAATAGTACTCAGGTGGGACAGTAAGACTGAAGGTGAGGTTAGCCTAATGCTGGAATATTAGAGTTACAATACAAACTGTTTCTAGGGAAAGTTAGGGTGAGAGGAAAGAGGTAAGTAATAACCTCTCTTCTCAGCATGCCTGTATCTATAATAGCAACTCTTTTAATTTCAGGAGATTATTCTTACTGATTTTTTTTTTGTCAGTTGGCTTCCTCTTCCCGAGTCTGTGATTTGAGGCCTGTATCTCTCAAACTCTTACGAAGTTTTAAAAGGGACAGTTGTGCTTTCAGAGGTTCTGGGCGAGCTGGTCCCCCAGCACCGAGCTTGTGCTCTGTGATAGTTCATCCCAGTCCCAGCACAGCGTGGGGATGGACACAGACCTGTTCTCTTGCTCTCATTGCTCCCGGCTGAGAGTTCGCATTTCTGGAATTCACACCCATGTCGCTTTTGTGTTATTGAGGTACTCCAGAAGCAGTCGTTTCCTGCTATGTTATATTTTTATTCTTCAGTTCTGTTTATTTGTCTCTAGGCTGGAGAGGCTCTCAGAACAAGTTAGTGGCCACTGGATTGCAATAATGTTCGCTTATCTTCTTATTATATGTGTTTGATTTTCTTCTCATTTCAGTTTGTATATATGTGGTAGCTTATTGACATGTTCAGAAAATTTAAGTAAAGTACCTCCACCAACTCCTTGATGTGATTAATGGAGAAGACCAAAGGATGTAATCATCAGTGTTTCATTTTCAAATGGTTTTAAATTACTCTTTGAGTTGAGGCAGCAGGTGCCCTGTTCCACTTTGTCCCTGCTATGTTCACCATCAGGCAATGATTTGGGTTGTGGAAAGGCTGTGTAGTGACTCAGGAAGTATTTAAAAGAGCAGCTTTCATTCTCCCAGCTCCACTCTGCCATTGCCACAGGCTACCAGAGCACGGCAGAGCCTTTGGCTACAGTAATATGTGAAAACATTGCAGCCTATGCCTGGAGAATATTTGCTCTTATCTCTAACATGTCAGCTCTCCACCATTGCGCATATGGCTGTAGCTGAGAGGTGTTTGAGTGGATGGCACAGCACATTTAATTACTAGCAGGAATGAATGACTAATGGCTCTAAATCTCAGAGTAAGAGTGTCCATTAGCGCTGTTGTAGCCAGCTTTGTTTTGAAAAGGCTATAAATGTTTTTGGGGGTCCAATGTGATTGGGATAAGGGATAACAATGCAGGAAAACAGGCCATATGATCATGGCAATCTTCTTTCCTTAGGAAAACAGGCTACAGAATGAAAGACGTGGCTAGTGGCCAGGCCTTCACAACTGCTTTAATCCATGAGCTTTGATGGAAAGGTCAAAATTACAGAAGGCAGCCCTCAGTAAAGATTTGTGTTCACCTACAAAAGCTAGTGGGGACTGCATGTGCAGCTTAACGTTGTTGAGCTGGCTTGTCTCTTTTTACAAGTAAAGATTCAGCTGGCTAAGTTCTGCTCATCCACTGGGTGAATACTAACATAGCCTTCAGCTCTCACTGGAGACAGCAGAGGCTGCCTATGTTTCTCTCCAGTGGTGCCCTCCATGCTTACCAATCCTGAATGACAATGTTTCCTGCTATTTCAGCCCTGCTTTCCCTCCCACCCTGCCAAGATATCCCAGGTGTAAGCTGCAGAAGCTCTTAGTCTCTCCATGCCACTTGCTTTCCTGAAATGTCCCTGACCTCAGTCCTGCAGGCTGACTTTTCCGATGTGTGGAGGGAGGTGATATCCCTAGCTCTGTTGAGATTCAGTGAGCTAGTCAGTCATTTGTACTAGTCATCATTTGATCATGATTTTGCAAAGTGGCAGATTTTTGCCTTTGAGGTCCACTTTACCCAAGCCAAGTCCTTTTACCAGATACCCCACAGAAGCACAAAAGGAAGTTCAGAACACAGAAAAATGTTAGAAATCTGAGTCAAGACCTCTCACTTGAAAGTCTTTGTAAAATGTTCAGCACAAAACAGATAGGTATGCTCAGTGAGGCTAATAACCCTACATAGGTGAAATACATCTTTATTGCTGGAAGTCCTTACAAAATAGGTATATGCAGTGCTAAATCTTCTCTAGGCTCCAGACTGCATTACCTAGAGCTCCTCAAGCAAGAAAAGGCAATCGTCACCTTGCTGACAGGTGGAATAGCATTCTCTTCACTGCTGGGAATGCTGTGGCAGCTATTGATGCTCGCATGGATTTTTCTTCATTATGCACAGCATGAGCCTTCATTTCTTCAAACTATCCACTGTAGGCTTTTCCTCTGTCTGCTGGAATGGATTTGTCCAGGGAAACATGTTCGTCTTTCACCTTTGAGGTTCTTGAAGGGAACTTCTCCTGAAGGACTTCCTGTGGCAAACCACCTGGCCACATGTTAGCACTGAGCTCCTCATTAGCCTCAGGGTTATCTTAAGAGTCTTCTTCTCTAAAGGCGGCATTTACTGAAGGTGAATTCCTCTTCCCCTTCCCCATACACATCCAATGGGAATTTTGTCTTAATAGGATAATTCAGAGTCAGGCCTGGGTTACTGCGGTTTTGTGGATGGTGCTTTCATCTCACCATTAGGGACTGTGCTGTAGTCACTAACTTTGAATTTTCAGTCCTGGAATATAGACAGACTGAACTGCCACTCGTGGATGTAATTACCTTAATATAATAGCACAATATACACGTACAATGTTTTGTGATATTAATGAACGGGCATTCACAGGTACCAAAAGTAATCAACAGTAAGAATAACAGCATAATGTGCAGCAGCCCTAATCCAAAAATGAGAACACCACTGTGCTATGTGTGATACAAACACCTAACAAAAACAGCATGTTTGCACAAAAAAGCTTCCAGGAGGAATAATGGGTGGGGAGATTTCATTCCACACGCCATAGGTGGCGGATGAAAAAAACAGTGGCAGAAACCTCAGAGGGGCTTCAGGACAGCCCAGGTTTGGCGGCCATGGAGCCAGATCATTTTAAGCCTCAATTCCCCTCTCAGCACACACATGCTGCTACTGGCATCCCCTGGCCTTAAATCCTAGCTGCATACTTTTGCAGGTGACAGCATGGCTCCAGCCCCATCCTTTTCTTCCCATAGATACAGTGGAAGCTATATAAAATCTAAGCAGCTTAGCTACAGCTGGTGTGGGACATGGGGACGTGCTCCCCGACAAACATTTCTCCTCAGGAAGGCCAGTGGGGTGTATGAAACCATTCACAGGCCAGCCTGGTACCAGCATACCGGTTGTGTATGTTCAACAAACGCCCGTTAATTCAAAGAGCTTTTGCAATACGTGTGTGTGTGTGTGCGCGCGTGTGTATAACCTAGAAGTACCCTGTGGCTTTATAACTGGTAACGTGGCCGCAGCAGCCGTGTCAGGCAAAGCACCTGGCTCGCTGAGCGAGTCTGACCGCGCTATTTCATGTGGATTATTTCAACAAGCCATCAGCTACGTCTGGAGGAACGGGGGTAGGAGCTCGCTAAGCCCGGCCGCGCTGCACAGGTGGTGGCTGGCTGGATGCCGAGGTCCCCTCTGCCCAAGCCAACCCCTTCTGCCAAATATCCCACGGGCGCACAGCGGGGAACGCGGGACGCAGGCACCACAGCGGAACCCGGTTTCCCCGGGCGCGTTGCCGCGGCGGAGCGGGCCGCTGTGGCGGCAGGACCCGCGCCCCGCCGGA